ATCAATCTACCTCACCCATCCATCCATCTGTCCTATCCACCCAATCCCATCCTTGAAGCTGGCTACTTGTCTACTGACCACAGTTGTAGCAATGTTTTTTTTTTTTTAGGATTAAAAGATAGCTCCATGTGGAGTAAAGTTGGATTATCCATGAATGAACAACTAAAGGAGGAAGATAAAAAAAATCCAGCTCTTCTCTATTTTGCAGAATGCTACTGTGGGTCAGTGTGGGCAATTATTAAACCCAGATAATAGTGACAGATGGTATTTAAACTCTCTGGCTCTTTGGCAACCATCTGCCTAAGATTTTTTTTTTTTTTACTGAGTTCACTTCTCCTAGGTACTTTATTGTAGAATAGAAGGCACGCACCCCTTAATATCACAGAGAACTGGTCAACCTTTGCAATATAGAAGAGACTAGAAATCAAAGCTATTAAATGTGTGGTTTGCTTCTTGACCTCTCTAAAATATCATTGCTGCTACATTGTAATAACATACAGAACATTCCAGAAAAAAATATGGCCTAATAGGTAAAACAACAGCAAGGGCAGAAACATGGCAGAGTGGAAAAATCAAAGTTAGAGTCAGGCAGACCTGGGTTCAAACGTGGTTCAGCCACTTGAGAGCTGTGTGCCATGGGCACGTTCTTTATCCTCCTGGGGGAAGGCTCTAGTTCGCCATCTGGAAACTGGGTAATAGTCCTCGAATGAATGTGGGTTTAATGAGATAATGCAAGGAAAGGACCCAGCCTGGGTCTGCCACATGACAGATCCATGTTACGCCCTGAGCTTCTTTCTTCTCTCTCTGTTATGGAGGATGGTGAGCCTTGTATGACCTTGAAGGAAGGTTAATCATGACTCCTAGCCTTCCACTGAGAAATCTTTCCTCCCTCTAGTCTTCTCATTATCCCCATTTCTAGAACCCTACACGTATTCAGAGCTTTTACCTCAGCTCTGGCCTCTCTTCCCCACCAGGATTTAAGTTAATCCTCTAACGAAGCGTCCTGCGTATAGTAACCACTCAATAAATTATTTGTAGACGAGATGAAAAACACCTGTTACAGGGTTTCCAACATGTGACATGTACCACTGATGGTATGAAATGATTTCAGAGGTTGGACCTGGACTAGATTTCTTAATAATTTTAATGGTTATACTATATACATACATATATATGTGTATATATATGTGTGTATATATATATGTATATATAATGTATATACATATATTATATATATATTGTAGTGAATATTAGATAAATAAATAACTGGCTCATCAGATCTGTGATTTTATGTACTTTCCCTTAGATGAGGCTAAATATAAAAATAATGATTTAGGGTAAAAATTAAGTATGTATAGTTGTCATAAGAATATGGCAATAACCATGAAGAGATGACAAAATTATGGAAGTCTGCTTTTAGAATCTATGGCTTATGACTTTTCAGCTGGACACTCCACATTTGGGTCAATACTAAATCAAAAGTCAGGTCAGAACCAGGTCAAGCTGAAAGATGGACTCCAGAACACATCTGGCATAAGTAAGAAGCATGCACATTCTGATATCTGAGTGTTATCACAGGAAATGCCAAACGTGAACTGAGCAGGAACAAGGGTCAGATCCCATGGCTGTATGCAAGGTCACAGCCAAACTGACAGGAACTATCTAGGAGACAAGGTGTCCTCCCCAGGAAGGGTGTGTGGCAGGCCCTGCTTCATTCCCCCTCAGCTTTAAAGGCGCACCGGCCTGGAATCTGATACTGTTTTCCCCTAGAGGCAATTATTTCTCAGTTTACTATTTCTGTGTAAGGCTTTCTTTTGTGCACATCTGAAGGACCAATGGGTCTCTACCCAATATCTCAATTTCCCGGCAAGCTGAAGAGACTTTGCTGCTATTATCAAAGGAGTCTTTCTCTGAGTTCCTCTTCCCAGGCCCAATGTTAGGATGAGAACACAATCCTGTCATTTTGGAGTGGAATATACAATGAATTTTCCCCTATGAAAAAATGTAATAAATAGAAAATAGATTTTGATGAAGTAGTACAAATAATGTTTCATATATGTTGCAGGTTATATAGGGTTCTGCAAGCTAGACTGGGAACCAGATTACCAATCTATACTACCAACTCACTGTGGAAATGTATTAACACTATGAAATAAAAATTTCCATAGGGGGTGACTACCTATACTTACAAATACAGCAAATTCCTTACTAGTGAATGTTTAACACTATATAGCTTAAATTTTATATTTATTTTCACATTTTTCAGAAGAAAATTGGTGTTGTCATCAATTATGAGTGGTGTTCACGTCTTGTACTATTGAAAAATAACTAATCATACTCCTGCCATAACAAAAGGACTCAATCTTTACATTTGAGGACAATTCTTGACAAATAAATGCAATTCCAATAAACATTTCTCTGATCAATTCCCAGCTACACCAACTTATTCCTGGGATTAACTGGAATGACAGTCCTAACTCACACCCTGCAATATTGACAGAAATTGTTCTGACCATAAGCCTTTAACCCAATGTTTTCCACACGTGTCTGATGAAAAGAATTACACGAGGCGCTTTAAAAAACAAGAATGACTGGTCTCAGCTCAGTAAAGAATCAGACTTTGAAGGGAGAACCTGAGAGCTGAACATTTAAAGCAGGGGTGGGGAACATCCGGCCCATGGGCCGTATAAGGCCCTCAAAATCATTTGGTTTGGCCTTGCCAAGGCATTAGAGGTGAGTCAATTAAATATTTGACCAAATATAGCAGGCTAATTTTTAAGTCGATAATTTTTGTATGGCCTGTGAATGATGTGATAAATAGCCAAACGGCCCTTGGCAGAGAGAAGGTTCCTCACCCCGGATTTAAAGAATGCCCATCCCTGGTGATCCCGTCATCCAACACAGTGGTTCTTACCATGGAGGGTGAGTGAGGATCATCCGGAGGGCTTGTTAACACACAGGCTGCTGGACCCTAGCCCTAGAGCTCCTAATCCAGTCGTTCTGGGGTGAGGCCTCAGACCCTGTGTTTCTCACCAGGTCCCCAGTGATGCTGCTGCTGCTGGTCCAAGGACCACGCTTCCAAAACCACTTCAGACAAACCTCAGGGATATTGTGGTTCGGTTCCAGACCACTGCAATAACCTGAGTATTGCCAGTAAAGCGAGTCATAATCTTTTTGTTGGTGGGAAGGTCTCGCCTTCAATTTGTAAACAAAAAGCAACATCTGACTTGTACGCATGTATGCATAACCCATGGACACAGACAATAGGGTGGTAGAGGCCTGGGGTAGGGGGTAGGGGAGGGCTATAAGGGGTCAATGGGAGAAAAAAAGGGGACATACGTAATACTTTCAACAATAAAGATGAAAAAACAACACCTGTGAGCTCAATAAAAGGAGGGATGCCTGTATGCAGTCTGCCTGGCAAAACACTGCAATTCAATATTATGTTTTATCTTCCCTCTTTGGTAGAAAAACAACATTGGATTAGAGCTCACAGAGTTTCTTTGGAATCGTACCCCTGCTACATTTTTTTTTTTAAAAAGCTGCTTGACATTAGACAAATAAATTTACCACAATACCTCACTTGTCTATTATTGTGCAGAATCAAAAGATAGCATAACGGACGAGGTTTGGTCCTGAACTTGGCACACAGTAGGCCTGCATTACACATCTGTGTACTTTGATTTCCTTGCCATGATCTCCTCTTGTGAGCTACAGAAAAATCTGCTGAGTTCTAGAAATAGGTCTCAAAATGTATTATATGCACAAAACTTCATTTGGTTCAAACAAACAAGCAAGCAAACAAGCAATGGCTGACCACTTCTTGTGAGCGATCATATAGCTTCATTTTGAACATTACATGTCCAACGGGAATATATACTCAGCTTTTCAACTCACATTTTCCCATGGAAGTAAAAATAGAAAACAAGGAGAGATTAGATTACAATTAGGTTCTCTGTTTAATTTTGACCAGGCTGAATTTAGTACCTAGGTAAGAATTATTTTCCTGGCAGATCTTCATTATATTGTTTGGTTATTTCTTATATCCTGAAAATCAAACAAATCACAGACTCTTGGAGTCAGAGGAGCCCTGAGGTCATCCCACCCACCTACCCTGTGAATTCCACTGAAAATACCTCCGGGTGGTGGTCCAGCCTCTTCTTGGACACCTAATGAGAATGCACTATTTTCACAAACCCCAACCTCTTCTTCATTAGATTCCGCCCCCCTTTTGAGCAAAAATATTTATTTCTGTAATTTTAATATCTTTGGTCCTCGTCCTGCTCACTCTCCTGCCCGAATATACCTAATCTCTCCTCCACATGACAGCATTTAAAGCAGCGGTTCTCAACCTGTGGGTCGCGACCCCTTTGGCGGTCGAACGACTCTTTCACAGGGGTCACCTAAGACCATCCTGCATATCAGATATTTACATTACAATTCATAACAGTAGCAACATTACAGTTATGAAGTAGCAATGAAAATAATTTTATGGTTGGGTCACAACATCAGGAACTGTATTTAAAGGGCCAGAAGGTTGAGAACCACGGATTAAAGCATTCTGAAATAGTGTTGACATCTTCCTTGTCTGTTCCTCTTCAGCCTAAACATTGTTTTTTTTCTCACCATCAAAATTTCCACATACTTAGCCCAGGTCCTCTTCCTGTGGACACAGTCCACCTTGAAGCTATTTCCTCACTGAAAAATACCATCAACATGCTTCATGTTCACTATGTCCTATTATCAGCAACAAAACAAAACAAATTGTAGTGTAGAGTGTTTTTCTAGAGTTCCTAGAGCTGGAAGGCACAGTCAGACAACAGGATGCCATACGGACTAGAAGGGGGTTCAGGGCTGGCCTGGTCGTGGCAGCCTGAAGCAGGTGGATCTGGGAACTGTGACCCTACGTGAAACAGAAAGGCTGTGCTGCTTCTTAAATGACCCAAGACCCAGCCAGTTTCTTTCCAAGGAAGAGAGAGGGAGACAAAGGCATTTCTTACTTTCTACGAAACATTTCTGCGAATATGCAGCCGACACTCCAGAGGTCCACGGGGGTGGCGTAGCTGGACTGCAGCAGGACTTCGGGGGCCCGGTACCACAGCGTGACGACCTGCAACGGCAAATGGGCCGGGCGTTACTGAGGGAGACGGCTGTTTGCTTTGATGCCTCATCCCGGGTGGCTTAATGCCAAGATTCGATTCCGAAAGGTCAGATGAGGACACTGCGATAGAAGCTATAGGTAACGAGGATTCAGCGCTGACAGGCCAGGAAATGACATCACCACCACAACCTGGGTTCCTACCTCAGACTCTGCATGTCTTACTAGGAGGGTACAATATGTGCATTTCAGAAAGCAAAGCAAAGACTTAAAAAACAACAACACCTGCTTTAAAGTGATTACCTTTTTCTTAAGGGGCTTACAAAACAATACATGGGAAACATGTATTGGCAATGACTGCAGCTCAATTCCCAGGCATAGCATTACTGGGAAGTTAGAAGATGATTCCAGTGGCTGCTGGATGTGACTCTGCAGTCTAGAGAGCACCCTGGATAAGTCAAAACTTCTCTGATCACGAGACTCTGGGGAATTAAAATAAAGCCTCCTTCAATGCTGATCTTTTCAGAAAACAAATTTAAAAAAGTAAGAACTTAAGAGACATGTGTAACCCAATTATTTATACCAGGTGCAAAAAACTCATCCAGAGGAAGGGATTCTCAAATGGGAAGAACCCCGCTTGATACAGAGCCCTGTATAATAATAGATGAAACACAACTGTAATTATTTCTCCCAGGTTGAGAGATGAGGAAAGCATATCATTAAGGCTTCAGATTTATAAGAGCACGTAAGGGTTCAAGGCTTCTTTCTGGGGGGAGCAGACATTTTATGGATGCCTGGAATGAAGGTGTGTTCTTTACTGTCAGATAAGAAATGCAACACACCTATCTATTACATAAGCCTTTTATATTATTCACATTCCTTTTATCCTTACTTATTGTTTTGTCTAATTGTATTTTTGCTGATGTCGAAATTTCCTGATATTCTGCTTTATGTATTTTGATGGTAGAGGACTTGGCACAGTAAGATTACAGTAATAAGTCTCCAAAGCTGGCTGCCATCAATTTCCTTCTCTCCTTGTATGCACACATTGCTTCTTTCATCAGAGGATGGAGTCTAATCCACTTTCCACTGAATCTGAGCTGGCCTTAGGTGGTGGAAATGACATCTGAGACTACCACAACTAGGTAGGTCACAGGAATTCTGGCAGCCTGAACCTGGCTGAATGCTTGCTCTTGGGATGCTTCCTCTGAGAACCCAGCTGCCTTGCAGTGAGAAGCCCACAAGATGTTCCGGTCGACAGCTTCAACTGAGATCTCAACCAACAGCCATAGGAGTGGACCATCTTGATGTTCACGCCCACTTGGTCCTCTAGAATCTAGGGTCTAGATGACTGTGTCCCCTGCCATATCACTTGGAGGAGGAGACCTACCCAGCTGAGTCCAGTCAACCCACAGAATTGTGAGTGATAATAAAATGTTTTAAGTTTTGGGGTAATAATATAGCAATATCTAATGAGATTCTGGACTGGTTCCTCTTCTTCATCTCATTTAGCATGTTTTGCTTTGAATTCATGCAAGGAGTCAAGTTTTATTTAAGGCAGGGGTGGGGAATGTCCGGCCCCAGGGCTGTATAAGGCCCAAGAAATCATTTGTTGGGCCCTGCCAAGGCCTTAGGGGCGAGTTAATGAAACGTTTGACTAAATATAGCAGACTCATTTTTAAGTTTATAATTCTATATGGCCTGCAAATGATGTTATAAATAACCAAATGGCCCTTGGGCAAAAAAAAAACAGTTCGCCACCATGGTTTAAGGAATAGCTGGTTGATATCTAAGGGAGAGATGGTTGGTGATGTAATAGAAATGAAAAAAGAAAACAAATGGATCCACAATACCTAAACAATGTGACTCAGTTATCATTTGGTTTCAACATATCTTTCCAGCGTCATCTCCCACAGTATGTCCATATTCCCTACAGTTGCATCACATATGAGACCACACCACGGGCTCTCAACCCTAACTACACACCAGAGTCATTCATGGGGCTTTTAGGAAAACATAGGTGTCTGGGCCTTTTCTCACCTTCACTGAGTTAAGGTCTCCATGGGTGGGGTCCCTGGAGTTTTTCTTTTTCTTTTCTTTCTCTAAAATAAAAAGTTCTTCAGGAAACCCTAACCCTTGGCTAGGTTTGAGCACCTTTCAACGACACACACATATCCTCCAGCTTATGCCTCCATCCTTTTATTGACACTGTTCTCCTAGGCTGGAAAGCTCTTCTTTCTCCTTTTCACACGTGGACATTCTACTTAGTCCAGAAAGCCCAGCTTTGATGCCATCACCTCCCTGAAACCACTGCCACCTGAAAATCATACCTTGTAACATGGTTCATAAAAACTATGGTTCATTCTAAAGGGTGTGGACCCAATATTATCCATTGTTATGTCTACCACCACAATACTGTGCACGATGTTATTGGAGTTTAACAAAAATAAAATTAACAACTTCAAGGCAATCATTTCTAGAAGATAATTGGGCAAAATTCAATTACCAGTCATTCCCCAAAAAAGAAGGTACTTACTACTTTTGGTGAGTAGAATGTGCAATTCTGAGCGCTAGTTTTTAGTTATAATTAATTTCTGCTTTACTAATATTTTTAGCTGGAGGAACACTTCCTTCCCTACTTCTCTGATGCACTGTCAACAGAAATGCAGGTGCAAACTGTCCATAAAGTTCCACTTGTGTGGTTTTGAGACATACATAGACACTGTGAGGTCACACACTTATCTTCTCACCCCAATATGAAATAAAGCCTAGTATCATATAAGATGAAAAGTTCAATCTTAAAATAGCATTGTTTTAGGCTGTTCTAAAGAGGCTGTGATTTCTGATTGATTATGCATCCCAAATCATTTTAGTGATACTAATTACAATTCTCAAATAAATGTTTAAACAGCTTAAAATAAGAACAATATTGATATGGTTAAGAAGTTCCCTTCCATTCCTTTTTATTTTTTCTGAAAGAGAGGAGGGGGGAGAGAAACATCAATCAGTTGTCTTTCATGTGCCCCCATCATGGATCAAATCCACACAACCTGGGTATACGACCTGACTGGGAATCGAACCAGCGACTCTTTGGTGCATGGGATGATGCTCCAACTAACTGAGCCCCAGGGTGCTTCCATGCCTGTTAAAATTTAGGTACTATTCAAAATGGATAATGAATCCAATGTCTTAAAAATGTTTATTAATAATGACCATTCTGTTTTATTCTATTATAATATATTGGTTACATTAATAAATTTCCTAATATGTACCATCCTTGCTTTCTTAGAATAAATCATTCCTAATCATGGTTTATTATCCTTTTAATAGTCTTTTGCATTCCATTTCCTACTATTTATTTAACATATTAACATATATATCTAAATGAGACTGATTCATAGTTTTGTTTTTTGTGTTAAGTTTTCATGTTTTGATATTAGGGACATGCAAGCTTTCCATCTTTTTCTATATTCTGAAATGTTAGAAACAACGTAATAATCAGTCCCTTCAAGGGATTTACTTGTAAAACCATCTGGGTCTGGATCTTTCTTAGTAGCGTGTCTTTAACAACCTTGTAAATGTCTTCTTGGTAATTAGTTTCAACCTCTTTTGAATCAATTTTGCTAATGATAACAAATTTCCCTATGAAAATATTTAATTTAGATTTTAAAATGTATTGGCTTAAATTTTGTACATAGTATTTCCTAGTATCAGTTTTCTTGGTTTTCTGAGAAAAATATGACTTTTCTCTGAATGTTGTATATTTTTGTTTTTGCTTTATATCAGTCCGTTTGTTAATTTAGCCATATAATTTATTAAAAAAAACTGACATGGAGTTTTATTTCTATTTTGGGAGGATTATTGTTTTATTTTATAATTAGTTGACTTCTTTTTTCTTTTTTGTTAATCTTTAAATAAAATCTCATTTTGCTAATCTTTGAATAATATGTAATTTAAAGATTTAAAATCTTTAAATAATCTATAATTATTTTCTTAAAAAAGTAAATTAATTTGAAGGACACATTATTTAGAAAAGTGTCTTAAAATATCCATATGGTCATAAAATTTCCATAAAATTAATCATTATTTATGGTTATCCTTTAATTGCTGGATTTCTAATTTTATTGCATCATAGTCAAAGAATGTAACCTTTTCAATTTCCACTTGGTAGAATTTATTATTGTTTTCTTAATACTATCCACACACTTGGTTTTTGTTCCATAAGGTATAAGGGGAACTTTTAAGTATAAAGTTCTTTATTAACAAGATCCTTACTTATATTTTTCTATATTTTATTTGTCAAACTCTAAAAGAGAATTTGCGTTTTTGTTTTCCTTCCCCCAGAATCTCCTGGTGTTTCTAAGAGTTTCTGCCTTATACACATTGGACTATGTTTTTGGTAAATAAAATTTATGACAAGAAAAATACTATGATGATAAGAAGAATTTAGATGATGGTAGACATAAAATATAAAATAAATACACAAGTCCTAATAAGTCAGTTACAAAATATAATGAGAAAAAGACCCCATCCATAATAGCAACAAAAATGTAAAACACCGAGGAATTAAGAAAAGTGCTATTTATATAAGTAATATGATATATTACTGTTAAAGAACATAAAAAAACAAAATGGGAAGACAGACCATGCTAAGATGGGGAAAAGTCATATTATAAAGATAATAGTCACTCATATATTAACACATAAAAAATATATAAGACAAACCAATGATTTTGTTTAGAAATTTAATTTAGAAAATAATGCATCTCTGGCTCAATAATGCTTCATAGTTTGAGAAATGAGGATGAAGGGCATTTGCTCTCTGTTACCAAAATATACTCTAAGGTACCACAAATAAAATGGTGGTCCTAACAGATTAAAAAGAGAGTAAATTCCAGAAAGAGACTGATATGTTAATGGGGTTTAAAGTTCTTATAGCTGCTTATTTCCTCTGAGTGAGAGAGAAAATATACAATAGGGGAAAGTAAGACCACTGGTCATCCATTTGGAGT